TAAAATATGTCAGAAAAATTATTGCAACGTTGCATGATTAAATCTTTTTTCTTCTCATTAAAATGAACTAATGGTAATTTATTTTTTATTTCGAAATTCCGGTCGTTACACTTTTTAATTTCTTTATAATTGCAATTATTTAGATTATTAAATGATTCTAATTTAAAAGAGGTAGAGTTGACAGTTTTAGGAATAGCATTTATATTGTTATGACCTGAGGTGAAAAATACGCCGTTTTTATCTATTTTTACTATCGCGTTTGGTAATTTGAACTTCTCGATTTCTTGTCTTAACAATAAAGCTTCTGTGTTTCTCGGATTACATTTTAATTTAGACATCTGTTCTACATGGGAACCTATGATAATTTTATTATCGTTTATTTTTAAATTTTTATTTTCATTTTTGCAATTATCTATTGGGTCGCTTTCTATTTTAAATAATGGCAATGTTTTAAAATTAGTTATGAGTTCTCGGTTTTTTATATCTACAATGCATTTGTAATGGTCTAGAAAATCTGATCCTAGTAATCCGTCAAAATCGATATCTAAATCACAGATGTATACTTTGTGTGGATCATTTTTTGTAAATGGAATAAGTACAGATTCGTTCATTACTATTTTTTGATCTGTTATGCCTTGGATAGTAATATTTTCGCGATATCTATTTTTATAGTTTAAACAAGTAAATGGTTTAAAAACGGATATACCCGCGCCGGAATCGATCAATATTTTAAAAGTATTTGTTGTATCTTTTATGTAAAACATCTTTTTTGAATTAACTGTAAAAGCAGGACTTATAGGAATATCTGTTCTGGAACTTTTGAGTTCAGATTGAAATCGTCTAAATTCGCAGTTTGGATTTGTGTCTCCAGATTCGAACATGCTTGATTCTGATTCAGGATAGGTGGGTCCGTTTTGATTGGACTCAGCCGAAAATCCAAATTTTGATCATCTCTGTAATTGTATTCATTCGAGAAAAGGGGACTATTTTCGTTAGAATTTTCACAGTAACTATTATCAACGTAATAGTTGGTAAGTTCTGTGCAATTTGCGGATTCCTTAAAATTTAAAATATTATCAGTATAATAATCTTCGACCTGGTCGTGATTATTAGCGGTATAATAATCATCCAGTGGTTCTAAACTATTGGCAGTATAATAGTTATTAAATGTTTCTTCATTATTTAAAACATATACGTCGTAGAAAAAATCATCTACATATTCTTGAGGTTGGTCGGAATTGATATAAAAGGTTCTTCGGTTGTTTTGATTAAAATTCGGGTTAAATTGTGTATGAAAGTTTCTTTGATTGTTTTGATTAAAATTCGAGTTAGATTGTGTATGAAAGGTTCTTTGATTGTTTTGATTAAAATTCGGGTTTAATTGTGTAACGGATGGTCTACTATAATTTACATTAGGATTAGGCATTGTACATTATAAGAATTATTTTGGAAAGGTTGAGTTTGGCTGGAGCCAGAAGAGCTCGTGAAATTCTGTGCAGAATTGTTTCTGAAAGTTTGAGCTTGTCTTTGTCTAGTAAGGCATTCATTGATTGTATGGCCAATACGTTTACAAAATGAACATTGTTTGACAGGCGGAGTTTGTTTGCGTGTATTAACATTAGAACTAGAAGCTTGATTGGCATCATTTTTTTGGATTTTTTGAAATTCAAAATAACTTAACTGAATTTTACGTTTTATTCTAGTTGCGGCTGAAATTATATTTGTAGGGTTACTTGCCCTGACAATATGTCCTATTTTAAGATCTAATCCGGTTAGCAAAGTATTTAAAACTAATGATTCCACAAGACGAGCTTGTGCGGTTTTTTGTTCTACGGTTAAAGACTGTTTACCAATTGCAGAATGCATTTTGGTGTCATGCGTTTGTAAACGCGCAATAAAAGTAAATGGAGTTTCGTTTGAGAGCTGACGCATTCTTTACAAATTTTGGATTTGTGAATTTAAATCGCGCGTATCGGAAAAATGTATTTCTAGCAAATCTTTTATATCGTCTCATGAATTAGGATCTCGTGAATTAATTAATTCAGAGGCTCTACATTTTAATTTATTTTTTATATGAAGGATTAGAAGCTTTTTTTGATCATTTATGCACATACGACTAGCAGTTTTGCAAGCACTTATGAAATTATTTTAGAAAATTTGATTTCCATCAAATTCCGGTACTATTGAAAAGATTTCTGAAAGTTTGTACATTTCAACAGAAGGAATTGGATCTTAAGGGTAATTATTTGCTGCGGATTGACGTGTTTCAGGCATTTTAACTTGTTAGAAAAATATTCACAAAAATATGATAATAGAACGTAAAAATGTTGTTTCACAAAAAATATTAAAACAAAAGAGATATTTTTAAGTGAATGATGTTTTCATTTCCGTCTACTTAGATGAAATCAGGTTCCGTGAGCGTTGCTACACCAGGTGGGCCAATTGCGTGTTCCTGATGCCGGAGAGACCGTCCAGAGTAGTTGAAATGTTGTTTCTTTGAGCGTTGTTCTTTCTTAAAGTTTAGGAAACCACCACACTTAGTTAGGATACCCGTGTTCCAAATGTGTTGAGGAATCCTACTGACTGCACCACTGTTATATCTTGAATAACACTATTAGTTTTTTAAAAAATATTTTATTACTTAAAAGGTATAATGTGTTTGTAGTAGGTGAGTTGTTATAACTAACTGACTTTTAATGTGTCACCCCTATTTATAACATAGGTAAAACAAAAGAAATATCTAAAAGGTGTAATGTGACGAAAGTGTTGCATTTACAAGAAATGCAACTTGGCTGAATACAATCCTAGAGGTCAATGATAACCATTCTAGGAATTGCAACTAAGCATTATTTAACTCTAAGAAAATTTACTATTATATAATATATAGTGTGAATTTTTATATAACATGCATGAAGATTTTAACTTAAAACATCCCAATCATAAAATAGTTTACGAAACCTACAGACAAGTGGTTAATTCAATAAATATTGGTTTTACTGAAGATGTACCATAAAAATGTGGGACCTGTATGAAGTATGAAGTGATGAATCCAACACCACAAAATGTTTTGTTGAAAGACATGCATCTTTTAAAGGTAAACTCTATTTTAGTTTGTTCATAATGTATATACTTATAAAGGTAGACACATACTACTCGCATCACACGGAACGGACGGATCGCATTTTTGGTGCCCTGTTATCTTAATATATTGCGTATGGCATACTAATCTGTGTGCATCCATATCGTTAATGGACCAACAAATCCATGCGTTCCGTGCGATGCGATGCGATGCGAATAGTATGCGCCTACCTTAAGTATTTTTATAATATTATTATAGGTTTAAGATAGCAGACAAAATTATAACAAAGACAAAGAAAATAGGGATCCTGATACTATAGTTGACACTGTCGACATGCGAAAAGTAATTATGTTGCCTAGAATGCCCGACGTAAAAAATTCATTCTTTTTATCCAGACTTATTCTACTTAACGAAAGTTTTGTTCTTATAAAAACCCAAAGATAAATACTAGCACGAGACTATAGCTGCTAGAAATGCGGAAGACATTGCATATCCTTTTTTGGCTTTCTTGACAAAACACAGAGATGTTAAAAACATAATTCTGTGGCTTGATAATTGTACGGGGCAGAACAAAAATTAGGTTTCATATAGTACAATATTAAATTATGTTAATTCAGGTTTATCTACTACTGAATAAATATGTTATGTATATATGAAATATCTCGTCAAAGGGCACACATTTATGGCAGCTGACGAAATCCATGAAAAGATCGAACAACAAATGAGAAAACAGAAAAACGTTTGTGACGTTCAAGATTTTATTGAAGTGTGTGAAAAAACAGCAAAAAGAAACCAGATTTTGAGTTTAACTATAGGAGACTTCATGGATTTAAAATCTATAATAAAAGAAGAAAATCAAAAGAAAGGAGAAATACTCTTCCATGCCTGAAAGATTTTGTCAAAGTTAAATTTAAAAGAGGTTTGCATGATTTTTTTTATAAAACCGACTATCAGCAGCCATATATAAAATCGTCCAATATTTTAAAACGGAAGGTTGAGGTAGGCACTTTTCCTGAAAAAAAAAAAAAACTTCACTACGTGGTATTCAATCATCCAAAAAGGAACCAATTCTAAAACAATTAGTACCAAAGAAAGCAATTTTGGGTCAATTTACATGTGAACGATGGTTCTGTAGATTCTTCTGGAATAAGAAGTATAATTTCTATTTTAAAACTTAAATGTTTAATTATAAATATTTATTTCTTAGTTTAATTATATTTTTTTATTACATTTACATGTTTTGAAACATATCCTCTTTGCGTAAAATGTATTATTAACTCAAAATTAAATTTATGTTTATTTTTTAATTATTAAAGAGATTGATAGATATTCATTGGTTTAAACACGTAAAAGTTACATAAATACAAAAGCCTTTGGAAGGATTGTAAAACTTTTAGTTTAATACAAAGGAAAATAAATGTATAGTTTCATAAGGTTTTATTTTGTTTTTTTTTTCCTGTAATAAATTAATTAAAAAAAAATGGTAAAAACAATTAAGCGACATTATAAAGCATGAACTGGGCATCCAAGATGTCAAAATAGAAAAATAAACACAGCATAATGTTTTGAGAAGCCTGTAAAAAATTCAAATCAAACGAATGTTAAAAAGGTATTGATAATGTCGCATTATAAAATTCAAACACGTTTTACACAAAACAGCTAAAACTCACATACAGCTTTTTACCATTGGAGGGCAGTTCATATTAGTTTGTCAGTTTAAATAGTTGCATATCCTTTTCCGACTAGACCTAGAATTACTTTATTTTTTAAATAATAATAAACTTTTATATAGGAACACAAACGCAAACAACAAACGAATAAATCATAAGATTTGTGGCATAAAAACCAATACACTTTTCTGTCTCTGAAGACAAAACAGTTTTAAGTCGGCAATTAAACCAAAATAAGCAAAAAAACGTACCTTCTAATCCGACAAACGCCTCGGGATCTATAGTGTCAATGTTGTTTCCGTCCAATTCTAGAGAATTCAACAACGTCAAGTGGGAGAAAACTTTTGCTGGTAACTTTCGCAATTTGTTGTGTGCTAAACCCAAAGAATCCAAGTTTCTCAGACCTGAAATGAAATATTTACAGAAATAAATTTTACAAAATAAGATTAAAAGTAATCGGAATAGCGTCGCAACGGTATGGAATTTCTTTGTGTTTATATAACAAGAAATCTTCAATTTGTAAGGAAATTGTATATTATTTGAGTTGAAATATTTGAGTATACAAGTATTTTTAAACACAGGGCCATCCATTTCTTTAAGGTAATCTTTTATTTTCTTTGACTCGAACATTAATAAACCATCTGGCAAAAATCGATCGGTGCTTCCAATGTGGGCCATTAATAAACGATTTCCTTTTCCTGTTGGATTTTGTAATCCACAAGAGACCTCTTCCATTAAGGCTTGTTTTTAGTTTTAATGGTATGACTTGCTAAATTTTTGTTATTGTATGTCCAGAATTAACCCATGTTTAATTTAAATAAAATACATGTTTATGCTGAATCCTTGCGTCCGATATTTTCCTTAAATAATCTCTCAATGCAATGATTTCATCTTTCTTTGTAAAAAGCTGTTTCTGTCACGTTTTTGTAACAAAAATTTAATTCATGTAATATTTTTTGCAGATGAAAATATAATATACTTGGAAGAGTGGGGCTTTTTTTTATTTCTGAGTATAATTTTTTAAGTGTAGGAATTTTATTTAAAAAAAAATTTGTAACATTTGCTTCATTACATTCATTACCCAAGTTTTAAAAAAGGTATTGTTTCTTCCTGTGGGCTTTGTCGGATGTGGGACTTCCCCAATAGCTCTGTATCTTCTTTAATAATGTTAATGTTTATTTAGTTGCTATTTTATCCACAGAAAGTATAACAAAGTCTTTTCGAAGATTACTAAATACATTAAGAACTATATATTTTCTACTAAAGATAATGATTTATGTCTACTATAATATTTACGCGTGCTTGTGCTTGCAATAATTTCTAATGCACTCGCCGTTCTTATAATTAAGTTGGAACCATACGAGAAACTTTTTTATTCTTAGTTTTAGGAAAAAAAGTCAATCCTTACAAAAAGTTCTGCATGGTCCAATATTTAAAATGCAATCATCAGATATTAATTTGTTTAAGCCGTATACGAAGTTTGTCGCAAAATATGATTTTTGCTGAGGACTAGAGTACCTTTGTTTTTGAAAAACCTCGTATATGTCTGATAAAATTTAATATCCGATGATTTTAATTCAGGTTTCAGACCATGCTTGACTTTTTATGAAAAATAACTTTTTTTCTAATAATCATATTAAAAAAGTTTTTCATATGCGGCCAACTTACGTAGACAGTTGGTGGCATATGAAAAACTAGACATATGTCAAATAAACCTCAGCTGTGCATAAACTGCCAAACTCCTTATCTAAAGCACGGATTTTAAATTTGACCGAATCTTCGCTTTCGACGATACTATTGCACAATAATTACCTGACGTTTCCATGAAAATTTAGACATTGTAACCTACCAAATGAACTCGGTGATTCCACCAAAATTTTAAACTTATAAAAAAAATTATTAAAGTATTAACTACAATTAAAAATGTTGTCTACTACGGTTACACAAGTTTTGGCTGTTCCGGTGTCAACCTTCGGGCCTTCGACGTCGCTCAGACGGCAGCTAGGGGGTGGATAGCTTACAAGAATTCCGGAAATAGTAGACAAATGAGTAGGCGCCAACTGGGTCTATATAGTGGCCAAACTATGATCCTATTTCCCCAAAAACCCAGTAAATGAGGAAAGAAATAAAGGACAAACCTCAACTTATGTTCCTTTATAAAAAAAAGGAAAAATATTTACTAAATATATCAACTTTAAATGTCAACAATTATTTATTATGAGTTTGACAAATTACTAAAACTAATTAATTACCTAATGGCTTTAGATAATCCAAAAAAAATAAGTAGGAGGAAATTAAAGGGAAAGTTTACACCATATATGTATATGCATAACCCAAAATAAATTATTAAATGTATCAAAATATGACACGGTTCGTCGTTAGCTTGGTACCAGGCATGACGCTTGCGCAAAATATTAATTTCCACCTTACATAAAATATAAAATAATAGTTAACTCAAATCTTGTGCATAACCGCACCTATACTACATCATATATTATAAACTAAACAGTAAACTTATAATCCTTATAAGCTTATAACCCTCTCCAAATTGGAAGGCGATATTTGCTTAACTTTTAGTTAAGACCAAACTACCCAAAAGAAAATTATTAAACCATGAAATTTTATAATTAAGTATAATTCATATAACTAAATAAAAATATAAAAAAAATAAAAATACAATGAACACATAAAGGACTTTAGACACAGAGGTAGGTTATTTACTTAAACTCCCAGGTTGGAAGAGGTTACTTAATCTCTGCCCCCACACGGGTCTTCTGAGATTGCTTAACTTATGTTAAGTATTATCATAAAAAAAAATAAATAAAATGTAAAAATGAAAGATAAGGTTAAATTTGACTGTAGCTCTTGATAACTGAAGGTTTACAACTTAAGCGTAGAAGCAGTCCAGATGTTCTGCAACTAGAAGAATCACTACTCCAGCATTAAGTGGTTATAAAAAAAGAATAAATGAAAAATACACAAAGGACTTCAGACACCGTTGATATACTTTAAAGCTCCCATAAATAGGAAGAGGTTGTTAAATCTCTGCCCCCACACGGGTCTTCTGAGATCGCTGAACTTGATCGTTAAGTCTGGTCCATTTAATAATGAATAAATTGAAAAAGTAAAATTGTGACAGTAGCCCTTAATAACTGAAGAATAACAACTTAAACGTGGAAGCAGTCCAAGTGTTCTGCGACCCGAAGGATTACTACATCAGCATTAAGTGCTTAAATTAATAAAAAGTTTGAAATATTAATCAATTAAACGATGTAATATTTGATAATACATAAGTTATGAGTGAAAGAACCCTAGAACATTCTGTGCTCAAAAGTATAAATAATGTTGAGAATACCTTGACAACATTCGGTTGAAAGTGAATGTATAGTTTAACAATGTACACATGAAACATTCAATATAACGTATAAGAAAAACCTGATAGTAGGGTGTCTTCTTTCACAGCATTCCCATCGAATCCTGGGTTAACAACCCCCTGGGTGAAACCCTTAAAATATTACAAAGAAAAATTTCAATACACATTGACTCAAGTATCCCGAACTATAGGATTACCCAAAAATGTACACAAACTAGAAACTATTCAGCATCTAGGATGAAGAAAAATTACATTGGCTCAACAGTGAGTCATAAACAGTATTATGAGCTCAAATAGTTAAAATTCTGTTACACCATGCCATAACATAAAAGGAATTGACAGCCACATGGTGCGTAACATAACCAAATATATACAAAACATACCTTTTTCGTAAAGGGTTAACTTGGTAGCCTTCCAAGGATGAGAAACCCGTGAGATGATCCACAGCACAACAATATTCCACACTCCAAATGCTGTGAACTTCCAATTATTGCGTTAAAATCCTATAATAGATATGGGCTGGACCAATGACCATAGGAATTTACCAATACACTAAAATTCCTCTCAAAATACGAAATGTCCATTTACCCACAATTAACCATGAAGTAAAATCTAAAATCCCCTTTAATTAGGTAAGCCGATGGGGCTAAATATTAACAAAATTCTACTTCGACGCAAAATTCGTCTTTCTCGTGATTCAACACCCACTGACTAAAAAAATACGTCAGCCGTCCAAAATGGCCGAAATCCCTTTCCGATAAATTTCAAGCCAAGTGGGTTCAGAAATTCATCCTCAAGAATTCCCCACTATATAACTTAAGAGAACATTTACGAAAGGTACCCTAAAAACTATATTTATATACAGTATAACTACATTTGGGAAACTGTTCCCGACAAAAATTAATACAACAGCGATCGCCAAAAAATCCCTCACGACTGAAAATCGCTCATTGTGAAACTACCTTACCTCGGGTTCTGAACCCGATATTGGAACGTCCTACAAACATGACACTTGTCGGTGTTCTGTCATCAAATGACGTTTATGTCATTCACTGTCCCAATTAAAAAATATTAACCTAACACTGACAGCCATAACAAAAACATGCAATGAAATTCTTAAAGAATGGTATCGTAAATAATTAATTACCCAAGGTGAGACTATAATACATAATATATATAAATTTACAACGAAACTTGGTCTATTTTTAGGAGAACTGCCATCCTTTTACTTAGTGGTGAGATGAAATAAATTGTAATAATGATGTCCGAAAATTAGAATACAGGTGAAATTAGTTAATGACAAAAATAATAGTGATATCATCAATACGATTTTACCCTTTTTTTTTTCGTATGATTAACCAGGTAAGCCAAAACAATTTTATTAATTCGTGGGGCCAAAAATGAACGTTACAACATATTAGTGATCGACTCAACATTTTGCAATGGGCTGCTATACTCACAGGCAATCTTAATTTTTATGAGTGAGAAAATGAGGCAAATTTTTTTGATTCAAAATTTCATAATTTTACCTCCATACTCACAGATTAGCCAGACTACGTTTTTTTTACTTAACTTTAGTATACCTCTTACTACAAGAACTATATTTATCATTAAAAAAAAAGGCCGTATTTTAGTATGTTCTAACACATTTTCCCCCTTAACCCATCGGAAAGCCCTACTCTAAATATATATGAATTTTGCTTAAAATTACTAACCATACAAGTTTATTCATGTTTGCTGACTGGGCAAATAAGCACCGGAAGTCGTCACTTAAAGTGCACATTTGGCCGTTTTTAATTCTTAATAGTACATTGGACTTTCCTCTTTCTAAGATAATAAAAAAGATAAACGTTCCTTAGTGTTGGTATAAGATTTTAGAGTTATTGCTTCTTGAAAACTAGCAATATTTATTGACAACTTTCTCTTGGTCAATTGGCCCAATGACTATCGCTCTATTATTTATTTCACTTTTCTAATAAATGGGTGTATGTGAATTTATTCGTGGTTCCTAGAGTATACAATATTTAACGAGGCATTCTTTCCTAATTATAACAATCGTGGCTTATTTTTCAGATTTATAAGTCCATTGATTTTCAATTTATAGTTACGGAATAGCACACTTGTTTTGGCCCTTATCACGGTTAATTAATTATTAACGATTCAATTACAACGAATCTATGTTTTATTTTTATCTTAATTAATTAGTAATAGGTTTGAAAACCATATTATCAACGGTATTTTGTTTTGACGTAAAAGTTAGTTTACAGAACACATGACACAGTGGTCTTATTCTGAATGATAAGTTATGATAGTTTCGCTATAGATGCGTCCATTTGGCGAACAAGTTTCACGTTCTGTTTCAGAGATGTAAGATACTGTAAAGTGTTCCTAGACTCAATCCAACACAGGCGTTTGTACTAGGGGTGCGTAATAATTTGCATTATAAGCACTGAGAATGCTACGAATTCTATACCCTTACATTAAAAATAAGTGCGAATCGTCTTAGTATAGTACTGATGTGGCCCACTTAAGTTTTAAACATCAACGCACCTACAGTTGATGTACAAGTGAGCGGTCACGCGATTTATTTGAATTGCTGGCGCGCCTGGCTGCTCTTTAGTTGTTCTATCCTTGTTCAGTAGCATGCACGAACTGAAAACTTTTCGTAGTTTCTTAAAGCTATGTTAAACTTATAGATACGTTTCTGAAGAGCCTTTTGGGGTAAATGTAGATGCTAACGAATTGCAGGTTAATAATGATATTTATATTAATAATTAAATTCCAATAAATGAAATTTAGAATGATAAAGTACAATTAAACAGTACAATGATGATGAAATACGTATTATTAATGCAATTCATACTAATGACAATTAAGGTAAAACACAATCTTGGGAATTCAAAAATCAGGACTTACATATTCAAGTTCACCAGGTAATTTGAAATATGTTTGCTTGTCTTAAATCAGAAAATCCAAATATTTCACAAACAGATGCAGCTAAAAGAATATATAAGATAACAAAAACTCTCTTTTTCACAATTTATTTCATTATTAAACAGTAAAAAAAAAACGTGTTGTCAGCCGTCAAATAGGTTAGATGCATCTAAAGATGTGATTCGACGAATGATTTACAACACGTATAAAGAAAAAACCAATTCCCAAACTTAGAGATACTTTTTAGAAAATTACAAGATTTTGAAGATTTCCAAGACAAATCATTAGAATCAATTCAAAAAAATTTAATAAATTGTGGTTGTAGATATAAAAGTTAGATAGTCGAATGTGCATTATGCAATCGCGTCGAATTGTGGAATTACATCAAATTTATTTAAGGGAACTTTTTAAATTTAGAAACAGCAATAGAAATATAGTTTGTTTAGATGGAACATGGATCGACACTCATGATGTGGTTCAACGTGGTGGGGTAGGCGGTTCACAAAATTGTCTTTTAAATGCACCATGTTCGAGGGGGAAACGAGTCATAATTTTACATGCAGGAAATAAAAATGGCTTTGTACCAAATGCTTTGTTAGATATGAAGATATGAATGCAGCAGTTTTTGAGAACTGGTTTGCTCAATAACTTTTACCAAATATTTCACTCAATTCACTCATTGTAGTAGACAATGCGCCATATCATTCTTGGCAAATTCACAAGAAGCCAGATAAGTGGCTCTAAGAAATCAGATATAATAAAGTATTTAAAAGATAATAACACTGATATTCCTGCTTCCGTAATAACAAAACCACAATTGATACAAATTGTTGAAAGTAATAATTTAATATGGATAATTTTGCAAAAGATGGTGGTCATACTGTATTTAGGTTACCTTATTATTATTGTATACTTAATCCAATTGAATTAGTTTGGTATTCAGTTAAACACAAGATAAAACGTAATAATTTTGCACCTACCTTAACAAATGTGGTTTTGGAAAATACTAATGGCGTTTTTAAAGAACCGTCTCTAGATCTTCTCGCGCAAAATTAAGAGAAGTAAGCTTCCAGAGAAGAGGTCACTACTAATACTATCCCTCAACCTACCCTCTCACAAATCTTAAATATCCTTCAAAATATGCAACGAGATAGGCAAAGTGAGACCAATTGCGGAAGAATCGGACATCTTCAAAGAACTTGTAGAGACAGGGCTAGTTTTATAAATCGAGAATCGGAAAATAAAGCCAGAAATTTGCCAAGATCAAAGTCCCGAGTCCTATCACGAAGTACAACAAGAAATAATTACAGTAGTAATGCCTCTCGAAGAAGACGGACACTCGCTCCTATCCGGCTTCATAGCGAAAATTAGGAAAACAGTAAGGTCGATACAAGGGGACAGGCGAATAATTTATTGGTCAAGGGGTATATCGACGACCACGAAGGGCACCTTCGTTATTGATACTGGCGCAACCAAGTCTTTCATTCAAACAAGGACCCTGTATCAAAAACTACGACTAACTCAAAGAAGCTAAGTCCTGGAAACAGCTACAGGGCACACTATTCCTGTTCTAGGAGAAATAGTAGGAACTGGACAGATTGGTAATACCCTGATAGAACACTTATTTATGGTGGCTAATATTAAAGATTAGTGTGTTCTTGGCATGGACAATATGCAAAATAGTAGTACATTTCCGGAGAGTCTTTCGAATGTATCGCCATAGATATCCTTGGACCTCTTCCCTTTATAGAAATATTTGGGGCTGTCATGGAATATTTTTTAAAATGACCCGAAATAGCACCTATTCTTAATCAGGGAGGGTTGACAGTAGAAGAAGCATTCATTGCAAATGTCATAGCAAGACTGGAATTGTATTCTGACCAAGGACGAAATGTTCAATCCGAATTATGGATAAAATTGATGAAACCCGCACTACGCCTCTCCACGCACAGCTCCACGGAATGGTAGAAAGACACCATGCCAGTATCTTGCAATGTTTGTCTCTGAGAACCAAAAGGACAGGGATACTTTAATTCCTCTATTTATGCTAGCCTACCGTAGTTCTGAACATAAATCGACCAGTTATACTACATCTATGATGAGATTGCTAGAAGGAAATTGAAGCTTCCCTATAATCTTCTTTTCGGAAGGCAGCCTTCTGGTAAGGCAGAAGGTCATACACCTTCTACGTACATACAGAACTTAAGACAAAGATTAAAGAAAGGATACGAATTCGCTCGGTTACGTTTAAAAGTCAGCGATAAAGCAATAGCTAGAATCAACATGCATACCACAGGGACACATTTTAAGAGAGGCGGTCTAGTAGCGCTGCATAATCCTAAGCGTTAAAAAGAACTTTGTCAGAAACTGCAACGGAACTGGAAAGGCTCCTATACAATTAAAGAAGAGGAAGCAATCTTACCCTGCACCCTGCAGTAACCTGCGGCTGTTAAAGAAAACGTACAAATACATACAATTATGATGGTGGGTGAGGTTTTCCGGGTTTTCCTCACCTCTAAGTCAAATGGCACCATCAATCATCCTTAAGTCGCCCCGGAGCGCCATGGCAAATAATAATAATAGCCGTCCCTTCCCCTACACAAGTCGTTCAGTCGACTTTAGGGGTTGAAATTCACTCGCAAGGGGGTGAATTAGGGAGAGTATTATTATTATTATATTATTATTATTATTATTATTACAAAAAGAAGTGCAATGTCATCCATCACCCTACAGTGTGTTGCGGTCGTAGTAAGTAAGTAGTAATAGTCTAGAAATAAATGTCTGGATTGTTCGAGATGGCCCTAGAAGGTAAAGGTGAGCTATGTCGATGGTCCTGATATCAGAGTTCAGTTTTATGATAGACGTTATAGGTTAATATTATCAGTTGTATAGTTGGGTTAAAATAAATTAAAATACCAAAAACCAGTTCACCACAATTATTCAGGTTATCTTAACTCATTTCATTTGACATTTTAAACTTATTGGCAAACGTTCCCAGTATTCTATGCGCTTTTCACTTGTCACCTTAATATAAATTATTACTCATGTATTAATTATAAACCTAATGATGGCTTGATGTCGAAATAAGTTGTCTTTTAACTTTAGTAAAAATGGTGTTTTTGGGACTTATTTCGAGTCATTTCTTACCTTATAACTTATATCGAAAGTTTGGTTTTTGAAGTCTTACCAATTTTTTAATATAAGTGACTAACAAAAAATGTTTTTATAAAGCTTGTTAATATAAAGTAAAATGTAAAGCAGGTTAAAAACACAGTAATAAGTCACAGTAGTCGTCTAAAATAGGTGATTTACCAGCTTTCAGCTCTTTTAACTCAGTGTGTTCATCTTCCTGTTTGATTCTAAAGTATCTATAGATTTATCTATAGATATATATTAGTTAGAAATTCCATTAGAACTATTTTGTTATAAGTTAAAATCAATGGCCAAAAAAAAAATACCTTCAAAATCTCCTTCCTCAATCTCACTGATGCGATTTTCTTGCATTTCCAATTTCTTTAACATATCAAGAATTGCCAAAGACTTCTGGGGTATTTTGATTAAACCATTTCCTCCGAGATTGAGTCGTTTTAGTTTTCTGAAAAATTAAAAAATATGTTTTGTAATATCGTAAAAAATAAGCAATATACAAGTAGGTTTATTCCAGATCCATAATTGTATTTTCCCACGATCTCTATTATAACTAATATTTATGACACAGTATCCTTACTATAATATATTAAATGTACTCCACGCATATGTAAATTAATAATTTTCAAATTAACCGGAACACATTTAAATTAATTCAATAATAAAATAACACCCTTTGCATAAAAATTGCTTAATTATTTGTAGATTTAAGTGTTAATCAATTATTGTTTGTTATAAAATATAAATTACATATTATAAAAAAGGTAAAATTGGAGGCTCTGGATTTTGATCGGTAAAGGCTCGATTTAGTCTCGGTTTGAACGAATAAGTCGAGGTTATTGAAATGTGAATTATTGAAATTAGTATAAATATTTTATTTTGTATATTTTATATAGTTTAAAGCTCATATTGGTGTATGTCGGATTTGGACCTACAACCACACAAGTAATTATTCAAAAAATCATTTAATTCAGATCAAAAACAGTATTATAGTTTTATTTGTAGTAGCAATACACCTTAGTTTAAAAATAGGTGTGTTTGAATGAGAGATTGTTCAAAAAACTTATATTCGAAAATACTTTTAATCGAATACGCTATATTCGAAAATTTAATTTCGAAAAATATTAAAAATATATTAAAGAAAATAGAAATATTTTCCTAGTATTCTAATTAAAATAAAATAAAAAACTAACTAATTCACCTTTTTTTGTGGAAGGGAAATCCTCTAAACCCCAGGAGCTTGGTTTATTCGCGCCTGGGAGTGTGGGACTCCGGATTTTGGATACAGTGCCGACCTACCTGCTAAAACCTCTCCTCTTTAACCTCAGCATCACAGCATCGTCTTTTTGGGTAATTCTTCAGAATACTAAGTTGGCTTCAAAATATTCTTAGCCGTTGATGTTCTTTATTATTGTGCTTGGCTTATAATTTCGTCTTTTTCCATCTTGTGTAGGATTTCGTTTGCCATCTTTCGGACAGCCTCTCATGTTCTCATTTAAGACCGCTTCTGTTATAGTACCCCAAGCCCTTTGCCTTTCTATCACCCAGCAGTTGCAGTAGAAGATTATGTGTGCCAGGGTATCGATTGCCTCGCAGTACATGCACACATCTATGGCTTCCTTCCAATTTTTTTTTTCATATACGACATGAAACAGCCGTGTCCTGTTAAAATTTGTGTCTATGCTGGTATTTATACAATGTTGCCACATCTCTAAATATGCCCTTTGTCCACTGATTTTTACCTGTGTTATCCCGTCATTCGTTCTGTTATCTAGAACCTCTCGCTTCATGTCCTTTGCCTTTCTACTGTTGACCATTCCGAAGACTCTTTATCTTCAGGATACGTGCAGGTGGATCGGTATCGTGCCTGAATTGTCTTTAATGAAGGAGTTTGATAGGCGCTGGCGACTCCCAACGCGTTTTTCCGTTGACCTTTTCCATCCTTTTCCGATATGTTGCTACATCTATTCCTTGTCCCCATATGGGTGAACAATACAGTAATATGTAGTATACCACTCCGCTCAGCAAATCCCATTTCCTAGTTTGAGGGCCTCCGATATTTTTCATTATCCTGAAGAGAGGTGCTTCTCTTGCGGCCATTTCGATGTGTCTGACTAAGCTGCCTATATGGCCTAGGCAAACCCCAGGTACTTTACCTCTCTTTCAGGCTAACTAATTCACCTAACCTGTGAGGCATGGAGTCATCACGGGTTGCTTCCAAAAAAATACACAAAAATAACAAATCGTAACTAATATACCTAACCTGCTCGGCCTGGACTCATCGCGGATTCATTCGAAAAAAAAAATAAATAAAAAAATATTTAAAAAGTTTAACAAAGTATTTTTAAGCCACACTTTGTTGAACAAAATTTTAGAACTTAGATATTTCAAATAGTTGTATTTTCGAACTAGGATTTTTCGAAGAAACGTATGTTCGAAATAGAGTTTTTCGAAGAAACACATTTTTGAACTAAGGGTTTTCGAACAAACGAGGCATGGAGACTCTACACAAGGAGCACGCACTCAAATGTGGCATTTGCCAGAGAATGTCCGCGCTTTATCGTATAAATAAAGCTTTCTCTTTTCACCACTAGCATCGCTAATTTTTCTTTTGTACCGGTGTGAATATAGAGGAATAAACAAATGTGAAGTAAGCGTGAAAATAAAGTAACAGATTATTTAATTCACGTAAACACGTGTCAAATGTTTTTAAATTAAATAAATATAATTAGAGTTATAATTAATTAATTAATTAATTATTTAATAATTAATTAGAATTATTTATTTTATTTCAAACTACCGCCTCATTCTCTTATGCCAGTTTGGTAATTATGGAACACTAGCGCCCTCTTAAAATACTCTGTTTAACACAGTACCTACGCTTGTTATACATGGAGTGCGTGCTCCTTGTGTAGTCTCCATGAAACGAGGTTTCAACAAATTTTTCAAAGTTTCGAACAAAATCTCGCTAAACGTGCCTATATGCGTTTTATGAAGGTAGCTGTGGCATTTTTTAAAAAAAAATTTTTTTCTGGAAAATAGCAGGTATATTGCGTTTTTTATAATGAAATTAAGTTGTTAATTGTTATATGTATGTGCTCTATTTTGATGACAAATTTGAAGTGTAAATATAAATTTTTGTTCTATTTTCAGGTCATGATTTATAGGAACCTGGAGTTTGAGGCCGTGGATGGTGGTTAATAGCAGATAAATCGTGATTTTTATAATAAATTTGGGTGCGATATTTGGATAATAAATTTTTGGTGTAAATATTATGTTTGTTTTTTTTTTAGGTTATGGTTCGTGGGGCCCTAATTTTGGGGTTCTGGATCATCGTTAATAGATATTTTGTTATTTTTATATTGAAATTGGGTCCATTATTTATGGAATAATTAAAAATGAAACTAAATTTTAAACTGTCATATATCTCTTAAAGATACATGTATTTCACCGCGGGTTTTGGAGTTGGATAGCTTCTTTCTTCGTGTCTTAGCAAGCTTTTATTTTGCAATTTGTCAATATTATACACGGCATTTTACAAAGTATACATCCATGTAAAATTTACAAAATTTTAATTTGGAATTTGGGAAGTACGAGAGTGTAAAAATTTAAATTTTTTGGACCGTTGGTTACAGCTTTCCTTTGAGTAGCTCCTTAGTGCCGTGCGTGATAAATAAAAAACAGAGTTTTTTAAAAATCTTCCTTTAGACAAAAACACTCTAATTTTTAGTTCTTTGCCATAAGGACTTTTAATTATCAAGAATGGTTAATGTAAGTCATTTATATAAGGTGATTCAAAAGTACTCAAGCTTAAATTTGAAGATTTTTATAATTTGTTTTATTGGGTTATAGGGGTTAAAAACAAAGACGAAAATACAAAACTAATTTTATCAACAAAAAAAATTAATAAGGGGTGTTTCCTCCACGAGCATTAATAACAGCCTGGCAGCGATTCGGCATGCTAAGTATTAAATTCCGTATAAAAATAAGGTCAATGTTATTCCATATACGCTGGATTAGGTGCCTCACGAAGCTCAACACCCATTTTATCCTATAAATGCTCAATGGGGTTTCTTTAACCAAACTTAATATTTTTGTAATGTGTCTGTAATATCTGTCACGCCCAAATGTCTTTTATTCTACCTAAGACTTCCTGTGGTGATATCTACTAACTAGACGAAAGTTTGTAATTTTTTCTATATAACATGATTGTTAATACCTCTTCTAGACCGTCAGATAGTGACCGATTTAGGTGCCCCATTTTTGCATACAAGCCTCGAAGAGGATTGAAAAGTACATCGATATTAAGTAGAATAATTGAAAATTTACGAGTGGTTCTCAGGGATGACACATGAAAAATTCGATTTTTCTTATCAGAAAATTTTTTTGAAAAATGCACTTATACATTCGGGTCATTCAAGAAAATATATTTTTCGGACTAGTGACGTTTTCATACATTTGATGGGCTTGTGTGGAAAAATCTGGTAAAATCTCGATTTTTCCTTAGAATATTATGCCCTTATTTTAACCCTTTAGCCACTTGCAACATTAAAGCCTTTTGTTTTCCGAAGCCCAGTTTTATTAATTAATTATATAGTGAAAACGGCTTGCGTGGAAATATGGGCAACAAATAACCTTTCATTTTTGTTGGGGAAAATCGAATTTTCCATGTGTTATCCCCAGGAGCCACTCGTAAATTAACTTTCATTCTACTTAAAATCGATGTACTTTTCACCCCTCTTCGAGGCTTGTGTGTGAAAATAGGGTACCTAAACCTGTCACTAACTGACGGTCTATTAGCTTTTAGAATGATGGCTTTGGATAGCCGAAAGCACGTAGTCTAATTTTCATTAAAATCATTTTTTTTTACTTATTTATATATTTCTTCCATTCTTAACTCTTAAATTTATTTAAACTTAATTCCCTGAAATGTAAAGAAAACTTCCACATACAATAACAACGTTTAAAAAAAAATAAGAACTTTATTGTATGATGTCAAAAAACATGTATAATATGAAATTATTGCTGTGCAAGCAATTACTTGGCCAATATTGCCAGACCATGAAACGTAAACACCAGTAGGTTGGTATCATAGAACATAAACATAAGGGGTAGTGAACTTTGAATAATTGAAAGCCCACACCTTAGGATTGTTAACGATATTACCGCTGCGCCATATTCGCTATAGTTGTTTGTCGGAAATACATACTAATTTATTGATTTAACCTTTAAATACCAGGGTCATATTATTCTCTGAAAGATACTAGAGAATTTATAAAGTAGGATTACCAAGAAGTCAAGATTTAATAGAAATTCGTATGAAAAAATATAAATTATTTTAGATTTTATGCTGATTATTATCATAAAGGAATTAATTAAGTCTCATATGGATCATGACATTGGATGGGGTGAATATAATCGATTATTTGTTTTTGTTTATAATTTTTA